AGCAAGTTTAAAAGAAATTAAGTAAATTAAATTATTAATAACAAAAAAGAAAAAAAGTGATTTTCAATTGATCTTTTTCTATTTTCAGTAAATGTCAATTACCACATAATATTGCTTGCTTAGACATAACACCATTAAATTCTCGAGATGAACGAACTGATCTTTGTGTTATTGGTCTTTGGACACAAATATCTGTTTGGATATGTCGATTACCAACACTTGATATTCTACATAAAGAGTTATTAACATCAGGTAAATTAAGAGTAAGAGTTTCTTGAAGGCATCAAGATTGGAGGTGGAGGTTAAATAATTTTTTCTGGGAATTGATGAGTAAGAAAAACAATTAAACGCTGAATAAAAACGAAGAACTTTCGAGATAGAGAAATCAATTCTCGCTGCGCTCGAGATACTTCTGATAAAGAAAGTGTTTGTTTTGTTTTAAGCAATTTAATAAGATATAAAAATTTAAAACATCCTCATTATGTTATTTTACTTTCAGACACATTACCACGATCAGTTGCAATGATAACATTTGATGGTCAACCCTATGTATTTGTTTCATTAGCTGATGGTCCTATTGTTTATTATTTACTTGATATTGAACGAGGTTTATTATATGAAAGAAAAAAAGTTCCATTAGGTACAAAACCTACAACATTAACTATTTGTCAACATACAGATTTATCTTCAACAATAAATAATTCACGTACTGTATTATTTGCTTGTAGTGATCATCCATCAGTAATATCATCAACAAATAATAAACTTGTTTTTTCATCTGTTAATTTACGTGAAATTGTTTGTATGTGTTCATTTAATTCAGAATATTATGGACCAAGTTTAACGTTAGTTACTGATATGGGTGTTATACTTGGTCGTATTGATGATATACAAAAGTTACATGTACGTTCATTAGTATTGGGTGAATCAGTAAAACGTATTGCTTATATGGATGAAGAAAAAATTTATATTATTTTAACACAATATATGAATTCATATCAAACAGATACAATTGTACCTATTAGTAAACAAGCATATCAAAAAATTGATTGTACAACAAAGATAGAAAAAATAAAGGTTTTGACAGAACAACAACAAGAAGAAAATGATGTTTGTAATTCAATTGTTGTTCTTGATCAACATACACATGAAGGTAAAGATTTATTTTATGATTGAAATTATAAGAAATTAACATTGAAAGATTGAATGAAACAATTTGATCTAATGACATTTTAGAATGTTAAGATAGAAAAAAAACTTTTTCAACGATGAATTCAAAGAATTCAGTTGAAAAATTGTAGCAGAAATTCAAATAATCTAGAACAAAATCTCAGGCGAATCGCTTGCGTGTCTTGTTTTCTTAGTTATAAATTTTCAATAAAAGAACTTCGTTTCTTGACTAACAAGTGTAAGTATGATAATATCCAATGACGTATCTTTGCTACTGAATGATGAGACATGATTTTTTTTGTATTATTTTGACTAACTACAGTTATGATTAATAATAGATTGTGACTGTATCATTCATTTATTTATTTAGCTTTTCTTCAAGGGAAACGACGAACTCCTGGAATACAAAATTCACCGTTTGTCCTTTAGAAAAGTAGATCGGTTCTGGAGTGTAGACAAGAGCCCATCGGGTTAGGTTCAGGTCCGAAAATTTTGGATCCCATGGGTTATACTCTACACTGTAGTGTAACTAGAAAGTTATTTTGAATTCAGGCATAATTTTATGTTATGAGAAAATGTATTGCTGGATGCATATTTCAAAATTTTTTTCAAAAGAAGTATCGATACTTCTAAGAAGATCATTAATCAAAGAAAAGTTATTTTTTCTAATTTCTGTTTCGCTAAATGTTTGAAACTTTTACAAGAAGGATTAAAATTTATTTCGAGTATCTTAATTCCAATATAGAATTAAGTTTTTATACTCAATCTATTTTTTCTTCGATTACTTTTAGCTCATGCATCTGTTAAACTATTGAATAATGAAGAAGCAATTAGTTTATGTGTATTAACATTTGCTGATGATCCTTCAATACCATATATTGCTGTTGGTACAACAATCATATGTAATGATGAAGATGATCCAAAATATGGTCGAATAATTTTATTTCGTTATAAAAATGGTCATATGAATATGATTTCAGAAAAAGAATTGAATGAAGTACCACTTAAAATGTTACCATTTCATGGCAAATTACTGGTTTCAATTGGCAATGGAGTAAGAAAATTTATTTTAATAATATTTTTTTTTATTATTTTGATTAAATTAAATAAATATTTAGATTCGATTGTATACATTTTCATTAGAAAATCATGAATTAATACAATTATCACAAACATCTACAGAGTCTGTTGAATGTTTAGAATTAAAAGTTAAAGATGATTTTATTTTAACTGGTGATTTAATGAGATCATTAACAGTTTTTCGTTATAATATTGATGAAAACAAATTTGAAAATGTAAAAAATCGTAATAGAATTTTATTTCTTTTTACTGAAGTGTATAATTCTGATTTGTAGATTGCACATGATCCTCATCCACAATGGACAATAGCATGTGAATTTATTGATGATGATGCATTTATATGTGCAGAAGATGGCGGAAATTTAATATCATGTCATAAAAATAGTGGTTCAACAAAAGAACAAGAAAGAAATATATTAAATGAACTTGGATCATATCATGTAGGAGAAGAAATTAATTTATTTCGCCGTGGTAAATATAGTTCGTTATTATTATTTATTTTCTTTTGTTATTATCTCGTTTATAAACCTTAGCAATCAACGTCAGATTCATTCCTTGAGTTTCTTAGCAATGGAAAAGACGCTAAATAACATTGACGAATAGATATCGATTGTTCTTAACAGTTAAAAGCTTTCGTTGAAATTTGAATTACTAAAATATGCTTGTGAATATTCTAAATAGAGCAGTTTGTGATTTTTGTGCAGATAAAAATTTATATTCAAGGTGTCAAGGATGATAGGTACGGATGCATTAGTTTACCACGGTCATCAGATGCTCAACATAAAAAAAGCGTGAACTGATCAAGTTGTAATTTTATCAAATAAAGAATATTACTGTTTGTAAGCTTATCAAGATATATAATAGTGCATTGAGATGTGTTACAACTATAATGAATATGTACAACTGTTAAATCAATGTTCAGAATAATAATAATAATACTAATAATAATGTTAAATTAAGAAAAACCAAATACAAAAAAGAAAAATGACGAGCAAACAGCAGCAAGACAAGCAAAAAAAATTTCAGTTCGACATTCAGAAATAAATAAGGTATCGTTTTCATTGGAAAACAACTCTATAGTCTACTAGAGATTTTTGATGTTACGTATGTTGTATGAGTAATGTGAAACTAAAGGACACATGTGAGTTTGATTCTTGAGCACTAAAGGAAATTTTGCTAACAAGTTTATTTTCTAAATCGATAGTTCAATATCACAAGAGTATTTTCACAGATAATATCGAATAAGTGTAAGATTTGTTTGCATTTTCTTCAATCGATCTTTAACAAAAACTTCGATTGAAAGAATTTACTCAAACTGCTTGAACGAAATACAGATATACGACATGATCTCCTGTCAATTGCGGTTCTACAAAGTAAATTTTTACATTGTCTAATTACGTATATATAGAATACGAATGTGCAGGGTCATATTTTATCATACTCTGATTTAGAAAAAATTTTCTAACTTTTACTGTACCTTGTTCTGTAGGGTAAAGTAAAGTAACTCTGTATACCTCTAATATAGAATAAAACATTTGTATATGAATAAGTCATATTTTTTCAAATTTTCACAAATAATTTTTCTGAATTTAGGCAAAATACAAAAACAAAAATATTTTCATTAATAAATATTATCGTTTTAAAATCTATTGAATATTTCTTATAGGTTGTCTTGTTACACAACAAACAGCTGAATCGACAATTATCCTTGAAACATGTATTTTAATGGGTGCTGTATCTGGCTATATTGGTCTTCTTCTTCAATTACCACCAACATTATATAAATTACTTATGTCATTACAATTAAAATTAGCTGAATATGTTCCAAGTGTTGGTAAAATCGATCATAGTACATGGCGTTCATTTGATTCAGACGGACGTTTAAATGTTTCAAATGGTTTTATTGATGGTGACCTTATTGAAACATATCTTGATTTACCAAAAACTGTTCAACAGGAGCTTATTAAAGATTTACATGTATGTTTTAATTAATTAATTTCATTTGAAAATATTTATTTTTTCTAATTTATTTGTTTCATTTAGGGAGAAAATAACGTTTCATTGAATACAACTGTTGAAGAGCTAGTCAAAACAATTGAAGAACTTTCACGAATACATTGAACAGAATTTCAATTATAGTGTTTTCTTTTCTCTTTTTTCATATTGAATTCTTTTTTGCTTTTTTTTTGTTTGTAACCCTTGATTTGATTAAAAAAGCCAAATAAAAGGATCTCTTTTTTATTTAAAATAATTTATTTATCACCAACTTAGTCCACATATCATTCCGTTCTTTCGATGATTATGTCGATGTATGGGCAACCTTCGGAATCAAACTCCAGCTCTAATATGATTTCAATGAAATTTCATACAGAAATAAAATGAAACATTTTTCTAATGATAGTCACCTATGAAAGTAATGGTAAGTCATAAACATGACAGAACTATTATGACGTATAGATGAACATTGAAGATATGCAAAATTATTATAGGGCTTTTTTTCTTTTTTTTCGATTACGATCAATCAGCTCCCATCTCTAATTTTTTACATATGTATATGTATGTACATTCAGCCAACGAAAGTCATCTATCTGTCAAAAATGAGCAGTATATATATATATAAAAATGCGACGGTTCATTGAGTTATCGTTTATTAGTTTGTTTCGTTCATTTTGATTGCAAACTCTTACATCATTAGTATATATCGATTCATTTGTACACCTACATACATTTGAGTGCATTGTACTGAAAATATGATGAGAAAAAATGCTGCAAGTTTTTATCCGCCACCTTATAAAACAACACCTTTCAATGGAATGCCCAATAATTTTGGCGTAGGACCACCTTCTGTTCCATCATTTTATAACTTACAACTTCAACACGGTCAACAACAACAACAACAACAACAGCAACAACAACAACAACAACAACCCAAAAAACAACAAAGAAGTAAAAAGCATTTAATAAATGAACAAAATCATGATAATACTATTCCAAATATTCCTTCATTTAAATTGTATGATTTGGATACAAGTGATAATAACGAAATAATTCGGCTTATATTTTCATTTGCTGATGTTTCATATAAAAATAAACTTTTAACACAAGATGAATGGATTAGAATCAAAGAACATATGTTATTTGAACATTTGCCTATTTTACGTATTAATCATGATTTTAAAATTTTTAAATTACATGCTATAATACGTTATTTAGCAAGAGAATTTCATTTATATGGTACAGGTCAACATGATCATGCTATTGTTGATATTATTCATGAAACAGTTCGTGAATTTCGAGAAAAAATTTTTCAACAAAATAATAATTCATCAGCTAATAATGAACAAACATTACATCAATTAATAACAGATCATTCAACAACATATTTAAAACAATTAGAAAATTTTTATGAAATATTTAATCGTCGTGGTCCATTTTATTTAGGTTCACATGTATCGTTAGCTGACTTAATTGTTTATGATACAATAAATCATTTAGTTAAAATTGATACAAAATTACTTGATAATTATTCTCATTTAAAAGACGCATATCGACGTTTAGAAAAACATCCAAGATTATCAAATTATATGAATATAAAAACGAATAATAATGAAATTCAAAAATATCATCATCATCATCATCATAGATCTCCACAATCACGACGTCATGCAACAAAATCACCTCTACCAAATATACCACCTCATCAACATCGACATCGATCACATGAAGGAAGTGAATCAGGCCATTATCATTATCATCATCACCATCACCATCATCATCCTCATCATCGACGTCATTCAAAAGAACCAACACCACTTTTACAAACAAAACAACGATCAATGATATCATCAAAATCACCTACTATTTCAAGAAAAGAGATAGAACCACCACCGCCAATCCCACCAACGAAACAACAACTAGTGAGATCATCACAATCACCTAGAGTTTCAACAAAAGATATAGAATCATCACCACCAATTCCACAAACCAAACAACGACCAATAAGAACATCAAAATCTCCTAGTAGTTCAAGAAAAGATAAAGAACCAACACCATTACGAGCAACTGATGTTATCCCACCACCGCCACCACCACCAATACCACAACCACCACCGCCCCCATCAATTATTAATGAACATAAAAATTAATCTACGGATAATGGATTCTTTATATAAACGGTTTTTTTCTTTAGTTAAACAAATAAAAGAGCAGAAAAAAAATGTTCGTATGTTCTTTTTTTTTTCTTATCGATAACCTCGCCCATGACAATCATCACATATTTGAGTACTTGTTTTACGACCATAGCCATTACATGAACAATGTCTTGTATAATTCGACCAAGTTCCTTGATCTTGACATCGACATGAAGTGCATTCTTCTTCAATATAAAGTCGTCCATGACCTGAACATTTCCAACAACGTACTCTAGATGCACCTCTTTCTGAACCACTATTTGCATCCGCTATAAAAGTGCTTAATGCTGCAAGTCGTGTCGGTTGACTGTATTCGGCACCCATATTAACTGAAAAATTCATTAATAGAAAGTTATTTATATACAAATGTTTGGTTTTTATACGCACATGTGCTCATAGCAGGAATCCTATAATTATTCGTAAAAATAATAGGGAAAAAACAAAGATACTTGATAAAATAGACGTGCTAATAATTTGATTTTTTTCAAAGGTGACTGTTCTATTCAAGATAACAGTAAACTTTCGATCAGCACGCGTCAAATATTAATATATGTTATTTTTCATTTATGCTAAAATAACTTTAAATGATCGAAAATTGACCTACATAACTTTTATTTACTATATTCTATTTGTTAATTTATATTTTGGACGTATTCTATAGAGCAGAATTTTACATATAAAGTACTGTGAAATCTTGTATCATCAAATTCAAAATATTTATTTTTGTTTATATTGATAAATATTAATCGTTAAGTTTGACAATGTCTATAGTCGATAGAAATTTATTCAAAAAATTGTTTTTCGCGTGATATACATACAAAAACAAATTTCGATATTAATAATTTGTACGTATGAATATATAAAAAATTTCGAAGAGAGAAAGGGAGATTCATTTATAAGATATAATCAAATCATGAAGAAAAAAGGTCTAACAAAAGGTGTAAAACATATCAATGAGATATTATTTGATGATATATTTATATCCCAAAAATATTGATTAAATCAATCGAAAGAAAAAAAAAATTGAAACATTTAAAATAACAACAAATCTAAAATTCTTTTTCTGTTTTTTCTACTGCAATATCATAATGTCCATCATTTTCTTGATTATATGCTAATGTTAATACAGATAAAGATTTCGTTGATATTAACGGTTCATCTTGTGGACACACATCAATTAATGGGCATTGACTAAGATTTGTTATTATTTTAATATTTACTCCAATTAAATTACTTATTGTTAATGGTAATATATCACCCAAAATTGATGAATAAAATTTATCCGAACGAAATTTTCGTATTTCATCATAATAATTAACATCATTAATATATGGTTTATATTTTTTATGATTTATTTTCCATTCTAAACAAACTAATTTACGTAATGTACGTGCTAATTGTGTAATATTTGTAAATAAATTCTCAGGAAGATTTAAACGTTTTTTAATGGCTATACGAAAATGACGATCTTGATTATATAATGTTATTAATTGACTAGCAATAGCAGTAAAAAAACAATTTCCATCACCATTAACTAATTGTCGTCGATAACCATAACGTGAAAGATTTAAATCTAATTGTTCTTCAGCACTTAATGGTGTTAGAGATCTTTTTATTGGAGATTTTATTCTTTCTTTTTGTATTAATTCATTTGAATAGGATTTTATTTCATTTGTTTGTTGATTTATTGTTTTTATTGGAAGTATGTATTTAGTTTGATATGGTTGAGAATATGTATATGATAATATAGGTGTTTGTAAATAAATAATCGATGGTTGAGATGGGATGAAATTTAATAAAATATTATTATTATTATGATTATTATTATTACTATTATTATTATTAGTTGGTTGAATATAAAAATTTTCAATTGTATAAAGCATTTGGTCTTATTTTATATTGCTTATTTTATGTTTATTATATTGGTGGTATATAAGGTTGAACAAAAAAGAAGAGAATATGAAGAGTCAGTGTCACGGTCGAATGAATGAGTATGCAACATGAAAATCGTGTGACATATATGAGCAAGGTCTTTTTAATCATTGTTGAAGTACATGTACTGATCATACATATTTCTTTAGTCACGTGAAATACTTTATGGTGATCTTAATAGGATCAATGGGGTACAAAAGATATTAATTGAAAACAAAAAGATTGACTTAATGTTAATAAATATTGTAATTTTGTTAGTGTAAAAGCAAAGTTTTTTTTCTTGTTTACTATTTATACGACACGTTTATCAGTAGTCGGAAAAAAGAATTATGATGTTTAGATATATTTTACATTTTTGATTTGTTCTTCGAGAAGTGACCATGATGAATAACATGTGTATTATAAAGAATTTAAATAATGACAATCGAGGTAATTCTTAAGTTATATGTTTGCTATCCGTCGTATATATATATAAGCAGAAGAATGATGTTTATAGATTCATGTTCATTTTATCGACTGTTCGCGATCTGTTGTATTGATTTTATTTTTCGATCTTTTGCGTGATAACAATAATGGTTAGTCTTGTTATGTCTATTTCTATATTTATTTTTCACTTTGTTTGTATAGTTTTCGCTCAGGTTTGTCTTACTTTTACTTTTTATCTTACATACTAATGGTCGTACTATCAGTACAGGTAATTATTACGAAAAATTCTTCGTTCGTTTTTGTTTTCTGAATAATTTCTTATCTTTTAGAGACTTTAAATTCAACTAATCTAGAAAACAATGATTCAGTTGACAAAGTTTCTGTTATTGAAGAAGAACAAAATGAAGAATTAATATCATCACCTGAGACGTATGTTAACATAGCCTCTTCTAACTTTACTTATTAATTATACTTTTTTAGTGAAAAATCTCAATTAATTCAAGGTAAATTAACAGATGTTCAACGATGTTCGTAATAATACTTTGTTTTTCATTCATTGAAGTTTTATATTTCGTTTTGCTTTTAGTACTATCGCCATGTATTGGTGCTTATCCATCAAAAAAACTTGCATATTCAAAAGATAAAACAAAATATATTCAATGTCGTGACGAATTTCATTATGAAATTGTATCATGTTTAAATGGTGGTGAATATAATGCAGAAACAAATTCCTGTGATCTTATTATTACAATGATTAATAAATGTGAAGAAGAAAAACCATGTTTAAATAATGGTCATTGTATAGCACGATTAAATTCAACGTTTAAATGTATTTGTCATCCAGATTGGACTGGTGATAGATGTGAAATACCGATAAACTCATGTGTAAAAAAACCTTGTGGACCAAATGATTCATGTCGTACATTAAAAACGATTGATTATGAACAAGATTATGTTTGTATTTGTCATCAATCTGAAAGTTATGGTCTTAATTGTCAAGAAGGTATATTAATTAGTTTTATTTTCATTATTTTAAAAAATATTTCCTTTTTTTTTTCAGTTGTACCTAATCCATGTTTAACAAGTAATGAACAATTTTTTCCATATGCATTTAGTCAACGTGCTTATATTCACTGTGATGGTGAAATTATTAATTTTCAACCATGTAATGCATTACTTTATTGGAATCAAGAAGAAAAAAATTGTAATCGTAAACGACCAACAAAAGTTATTTTACCAAAATTAAAAAAAAAATTATCATCAAAATCTAAAAAGAATAAACAAGAAGAGAAGATTATAGAAAACATTAATCAAGAAATAATTACAACGACCGTACAAATTGAACAAAAAAAGTAAGAATAAAAAAAAAAATGAAATATTTTCGCGTCGTTTCAATCAAATTGTTTGGTTTTTTGGTTCGTGGTAGAAGGCAAAGGGAAAAACGCTGATTCTGTTGATTACAATACTTCTAGCCATTGGAATATGAAAGGAAAGTTATCGTTGCTTTACCAAGCAGCAGGTAACTGATGATATTACCCGATAACGTAACGACACTATTACCAAATACCGAGGAACGGAAAATTCTTGGATTTGTAGTGCTATTTATGACCTATTCTGTATTTTCTTTTTGAAAGAACTTTTATTCATTTTTGAATATTTTATTTGTTCAATAGAAAAGAAGAAAAAAATTATGATTCTTCGACTTTTATTCCAACATCAATAGTCAATACAGAACAATCACAATCGAATATGAATACTCAACAAAGTAATAACTAAATATTCTATTTAATATTATTCAATACTTGTTTGTTTGTATTTTGTAGTCCCTTTAACTCAAAATGTACCTGAAATAAAACAAAAAACTTCAGATTTATCAGGTATATGTTTTCAAAATTTCCTACATAAAATTCATCAATCATTTATATAGAACCATTATTACAATCAGTAGATTCAAAACATATTCATCAAGACCTACAACCTGAAAATACCACACCACTTACTATTCAATCAGAACAAAATGAATCATTGTCACAAACTAGTATGTTTCATATTTAAACTAAAAAATATAAAACGATTTACATAAATTTCGGCATAGGTTCAAAATCCTCTTATTAGCTTCCCTCAAAAAACCAGAAAGCTGGTACACTCCGTTGTGATCACTTAACAGCATAAAACATAGTGCTGAGCAGTCTATTTGGATATTATCAGAAGAAGTATAGGCTTTTTATAAAGACTAATGAGATGAGTTTCGTACCGAGTTGAAATTTTCACCTTCAATTTAACCTCATTCTTTCACCGTGACAACCATGCTATGAAATTTGCAGTATATATATGTTTGAAATGTATTGATTAAATTTCAAATTAATTCTATGTATCATATCAAATACAGACAATACTGCTAATTCCTTCCTTTTCAAAAGCAAAACGACTCCATTAAATTTTAAATTTGAGTTTCGTAGCCATTGATATAATGAATAATAAAATAAACCTACTCATTTGATATTCAATTGTAGCTCAACAAGAATTAATATCAACTTCAACAGAAGCATTATCTACAAACTCTTATATTGATCAATTAGAAATTCAACAAGAAAACGAACAACAAAGTATTTTTCATTTAATCTATTCAAATATAAGTTTATTTATTTAGATCTTCCACAATCAAATCTAACTTTTACTACTGAACAGTGGCTACGTAAGTAACTTAAAAAATTTTTTTTTTTTGAAGTAAAAACTTCCCAAAAATTAGATCAAATACCAGAAACAACAACACAAAATGATGAACCTATTTTTCCTCAATCAGGACAAGGTAAAACTCTTCTTTATGCAACAACCATATATTTGTCCCATTGATTAGATTCTTATACTACTCAAGACCAATCACAATTTGAAGGTATTATCTTTCTTTCAATTAAATATTGAAAAGTAAATTCTATTGAATGTTATAGATCAAAATCAACAAGTATTCGTTGAAACAACTACACAACATAATGAACCTAGTCTTCCTCAAACAACACAAGGTAAAATTCTTCTTTACAAAACATTCATATACGTCTTATCATTAATAAGAACCTCATACTACTCAAAATCAACAACAATTTGAAGGTATAAACTTTTCTTTCAATTATATATTGAAAGACAAATTCTATTGAATTTTATAGATCAAAATCAACAAACATTTGTCGAA